TATTTTCATAGTAGGGGGCTTTGTCTCCTTACTACATGACTGCTTCATCCATTGCAGTATTCAGTACATTTTAAGATATAAATCAGATGTACCGTATCATGAAAGATAACGTACTTTGCTTGTGAAGCCATCAATTATGTCTAATGAGAACACAGTTTTATGCTTAACAGAATTTAGTATTGTTAACTCATTGAGTTCATTTCACTTAATATCTTGAAAGTTTTCAGAAACACAAGTAGCACTAACATACTTAACTTCAAAAACATGCAGTAAGTACCGAGTCAGTAAGACACATTTGTTGGTAGATGGTTGCACATGTGCAACTACAGTTTATGCAGGATTACTGCAAGTGCTTTGCTGTGAAGTGAGATAAGGCTGGCCTTAGTTGTTGGAGACATTTTTGAACTTCATGCACCAAATGGTCTGTCAATTTCATCATATTAGTTCACATCTACAGATTAATTTCAGTAATAAGGAATGTAGCATTTTATTGCCAACAGGATTAGTCTTGAATTTTTGTGTTAACTTTTTTATTTACTTTAAACCCAAAAATATCATGTAGAAAAATAGGCAACCACAGAGGCTTTTAATTGAAAAAGATTATCTCATTCATTGAAATGGATAATTTTCTCCAAGTACCATTCCACAAAAAAATAAAAATTACTATCATAAATCTTCAGGATTCTGATGTAATTTTGTCACCTATAGTATGGTGCCAGGTGTCATGTGTGCTTGACATGTTAGTAGTTGAATAAGTGTGAAGTTATATGAGAGGGAGCAATGATTCTTGTGAGTCAAGTGTTTACATTTACTTGAAAAGGCTATAACTCTTCAGTATTGTTTTATAGCATTAGTTCTGTCATAGCACCCTAACTTACATATTCTCTCTGCAGCACCATGTTCTCTAACCCACCACACACAAACTTACCATAACAGGCTAGTGCCTCTTCATCAGAAATTTATTTTATTTTGGAATTTTGTGGCACCCAGTTTGTGAACTCCTGTCCTTTAGCTTTGATGTTTATAGTTACCCAAAGAATTCAAAAGATATGCTATTTTATTTAATTTTTCTTATTTTCTTAAAGATTAATATGTATATATGATATTAAAAACAGTTTATCTTTTTAATGGTTTAGGCTTCAGTGGTTTGGCAGTTTAGTGAACAATGAAAATAGAATCTTGATTTTCAACAATTAAAGGATTTAGAGCATTCACAAACATTAAAAGAAATATGAACAGTGTCTGTATTTTACTTTCAGCTCAAGATTATCATCATTATTTGGTAGCAGCACAACAAGCAAGTCCTCCAACTTGAAGTATGTTGCTCCTAAGCAGCCTCGACCAGAGAGGAGTGACTCAGCAAGTAGTGGAAGCGGAAGTGGAAAGAATAACTCCCCTTCACCAGGCCCACAGCAGTCCAAAACACAAGCTCCTGCAGTGTTGGTTGCTACCCCAGTCCATGCATATTTGTAGTAAGTGCTTCATCATTTTTTTTTTTTTTTTTCTCTCTCTTTCTTTCTTTCTTTTTTTCAACTTTCTTTATTTTCTTTCCTGAAGTTGTGTGTGTATTTTATTATATATATATATATATATATATATATATATATATATATATATATATTTATATATATATAATATTATTAATATATATATATATATTATTATATATATATATATTATATTATATATATATATATATATATATATATATATATATTATATATGTATATATATATATATATATATATATATATATATATATATATATATATATATATATATATTATATATAATTATACATATTTTCACCTATTACAAAGAGGAGAAAAAATATTTAGATCTTCTGCAAGATGTGAAGTTAAATACTTATCTACCTGTTTATATATCTGTCTAACTATATATCTACATATCTGTTTACATATTCAAAGAATATGGAGATAGACAAGATTATATGTATAAAAAGATAGACAGTGGCCTTTATAGAGGGGGGGCAATTTTCACTGCTATCCTCAAAGAAGGACACCTACTATGTTTGTTTTATTGTTTAAGTTCTAATAAGTACATAAATGTAGCAACAACATAGGATGTATGAATACACACACACACACACACACACACACACACACACACACACACACACACACACACACACACACACACATCACACACACACCACACACACACACACACACACACACACACACACACACACACACACACACACACACACACACACACACACACACACACACACACACACATAGTGCACGTTAGAAATCTTGGCGCGAGAGGGACCGCGACAAGATTTTTGACATTTTTCAGTAATACCCCTCTAATATCATGCAAATTGATCTATAATCTTGATGTCCAGTCAGCTGATAGATTACTCATCTGACTCCACATTGGTGGTTTCAGATATCACTCAATTACCTCTGGGCAGTGACAGTGAGCAGAATTGCTATGTGCTTTTTTTCGTGAATCGCCTAGCATTTTGCCTGAG